GGTACTTATCCCCAAAATAAGCTAACTCAGCCAAATAAGAGCATAATTAAAGCAATTCTGGGATGATTCAAAGAAAGGAACAAACTAGAGCAAAAGGAAGCAAAGGGTGGAATTTCAGCAACTTCGATCGATCTCAAGAAAAGTTCGACCAATCCAACTTTCATCGATCTCAGCACTTCAAGATGGATCTGAGCCATATTTGTTCCTGTTCAAAGATCTCAAAAGTTTGATTGATCCAACTTCCTTCTCCGATCAATTAAACATTCTTGTCATTATCCAAATGATTGATCTTATCCAGTTGTACCACCCTACCAACTGCTTTTGTCCTTTTCCTAAAAATATCTTCAAAATATCTCAAATTTATTTTTATCCAAAAAGGCGCCGCCATTGAGGATCGATCCAGCCTAAGTTTGATAGATCTCAGCCATGTTCGATCCATCCAAGTCCAAGGTTCGATCGATCGAACTTTCTCCAATGTGAAAAAGTTAAATTTCCAGCTCACAAAAAGTTGTCCTTTATCCAATCTTTGGGGAATATTTGTTGTACGACCCCAGCTCATTTTGGGTGTCATTTGACCGACCTATATAAGGATAAGGATTACTTTTTGTATCACAGGATAGAATATCATATCATACCTTAGGGAATTTTTAGGGAGGAAGCATGGAAAATGAGGAGGTTAGAGACACCATTGGAGACTCTTTATCAACCAAGGAGTAGATTTCTTCCATGGAGCTTGTCCTTGAGGGTTGGAGGACATCATCCATAAGTGGCTAGACATCCTCTTGGGGCTAGAGTTAGCCCTAAGCATGCTTTCTACTTCTTGATTTATGTATTTTTGAGGGGATTTGTATTATGATTCATGTCTTGGCACTTATATATATATAGATCTTGTTTATTCAATGATTTATGTGGTTTAATGCTTCCAATTGATCATTTCATTCTATCCATATGTCATGTGTACGACACTCAATCCCTTAGGACGATCCCTACTAACCCTAGTTATATTTTTAGTAAAAGGTAGTAGTGGCAATTTCTAAATGTAAAACTTGGCCACATAAGCATAAACTTTTGGAGTGCGACGACCGACACACCACTTTGCATTGGGGGCGGAACATACTTGCCTTGAAAACCACTTTGGAGAGGGTTTGAGTCTTCCCCTTGGCTTTTCTAAGAGAAGTTAGGATGGTTCTTCCACCTGGCATTGTAATGAGTGCCATAGGGATTATTCTCTTGGTTAACAAATGCGGCATTCACTTGTTCATGGTGTTCACTCTGCGCATATCCATGGGGACAATTGGAAGTAGAATGTAGAACACTAGAACAAGTCATGCAAGCTTCATTGGAATTATGATGAGTATGACTAGGGGAGGAAGACACTTGCTTTACCGAATTTTGGTTGATAAAAAATTGATCAAACCTTTGGGATAAGATTTCACTTCGGCGGCTATGTCATTGGAGTTGACAACTTGATAAAAGCCAACATTCTTCCTTCTACCTAGGTTTCTACCATTTTGGAAGATAAGGATCGATGCATTGAATTCTCACTCATGCTCTCATAAAGACGCCATACATCGTCCTCATGCATATCAAGATATGAACCACCTATGAAAGCATCTACCATTCCTTTATGATTATCCAACAAACTTTCAAAGAAAAATTGGACCAATTGCTGTTAAGGAATGTTGTGATGTGGACACTTCCTATGCAAGTCATTTAGGCGCTCCCATGCCTCGTGAAATATTTCCCCTTCCCCTTGAGAAAACTCTCGAGTGAAAGTTCTCATTGCATTGTTCTTTGAAACCAGATAATACTTTTTCAAGAACTTTTGTTGCATCTCTACCCAAGAGGTTATCGAAAAAGGTCTAAGATTGTTGAACCAATATTTTGCCTTATCTTTAAGGGTAAAAGGGAAGAGTTTTAACCGTAAAAATTCTTTCCGCATGTCCACATATTTCACCGTGGAACACACTTCAAGAAACTCATCTAAATTCTTGTAAGGTTCTTCACTTAGAAGTCCATGATAATTGGGAAGCATTTGAATAGTTTATGGTTTGATTTCATAATGGTGTGCCCTAAATTGGGTAATTGAATGCATATTGGTGCATTGTACTCATTTAGCACGTAATGATCTCTCAAAGCGATATGAGGGTTCAGAACCGGTGGCGCTACACGAGCACCATGATTTCCTTGAACTATGGGAGGTTGAGGTGGAACAAAAATTGGCCGAAGCATTCCCAATGGAACATGGCCTTGTTGTTGTGAAATGAAGGGTCTTGGCATGCCTAATGGTACTTGAATGTTGTCATGGCGCACATTAGGGTGGAGGATACCTTGTTGGTCAATGTGACTAATGTCCTCCACATGGTCCTTATTAATGTCCTCCATTGATGAAATGGAGTGATAAGAATTACCCCTTTTCCTAGGATTATGAACAATGGATTCAAGATTCAAATCAAGTGGGACAAGGGTTGGATTCAACGATCTATGACCATGCATGCACTATAAAAAGAAGAAGAATAAGTCAACAACAAGTATGTAACAAGCACTTCTCTTCCACAACAAATCAATCAACAAACCTCCACAAATATTTATCCCATACTCCCATGCTTTGAACAATATGCAAAAAAAGTAAATTGTCTTCATGCGGGCTCACAATTTATCTAAGAAATTAAAGACTTGTCACTGCGCGATCTGACAATTTAACTACAGATAGAGTTAGAAAATCTCGTAAAGGGTCCTTAAGCAACTTAAATTTATTTTCACTTTTTGCTTTGGCTTGCTTTGTTTTGCAATTTTTAGATTTTTAGCTTTTTGTGTTTTTGCTTAGCTTTGCATAGCTTGCTCCTTTTGTTTTAGAATCCTTTTGCTTTACTTCCCTTGACTCAATATGCCTAGCCAATTAAGAACAAATACAATAGGTAACCAAAGTAAAATGAAATAAATACAAGATCAAAAGAGTACTAACTCCTAATTGATTTTCAAAATACAACATTGCCAAAATCCCCAGCAACGGCGCTAAAACTTGGTGTGGTCAATACCTAGTTACAAGAAAGAGTGTATGTGGCCAAGTTTAAATTTATAGATTGCCACTACCACTACTAACTATTAACGTAGTTAGAGTGAGTAGGGATCGTCCTAAGGGAAAATGGGGTGTATTTAAGCTTGGAAATCAACATTGGATTAGTAATTTGGTTTGGTGGTTGAATTAGACTACAATGTAAACTAGATAAATGCAAAATGAAGCAATTAGAGTAAAATGAGGTATAGAGATTGTAAGAGAGGAGTCTCGGGACTTAGAGTTCACCACTAAGCATTACCTTCCTAGACATTCAATGTTTGATGGATTAGGGGGATTATATGTTGTTATAAAAATGTGTGCCATTAATTGAATCAACAAGCATGGATGGCCAAGTAAGCATACATTGTCTAGCCAAACTAGTGAATAGCACAATTTATCAAATTATGCCATTATTCCTTCCTTTAAGTCCACAATTAATGCACATTCATCAAATTAGAAAAATATGCTACTTACATTCATAAGCATGGAACATCAAACAACAAGCATGAATTGTCCACCTATCTAAGAAAGTAAAGCAACTACACTACATCTAAGCTAGTGGCATAAAAATTAAACTAAAGAAATGGCACAACCATCAAGAAATAAGTATGAACAATCAAATAAACCATAAGAGTAATCTATTTAAGCACCATACCTTGACCATCACTAAATTTATAATATCAACACACATAGACATGCATCAATGTCATAGAATCTAGAAATAAGCACATGAATATTCATTCTAGCATACATAGACAGATGGATAGAACTAAATGATCAATTGGAAGTATTAGACTACCCAAATCATCATAGAAACAAGATTTATATATATATAAGATGTCAAGACAATAATTACAACACAAATCCTCTTTAATTACCAAACATCAAAGTATAAGAGGCATGCTTAGGGCTATCTCTAGCCCCAAGAGAATGGTTTAGCCATTCATTGATGTTGTCATCTAACCCTCAAGGGTTATCTCCATGGTAGAAATGATCATCCTCTTCTTGGTAGAAACCCTAGATGAGTGGAAGAATTTTCCCCAATGGTGTATTTCTTTTTCTAAGCTCTAGCCTTCTCCAAACCTCTATTCTCCTCCTTTATATCCAAAATAACCAAAATCCTTATATAGGTAGCTCAAATGTCACACCTAATAGTCAGACCTCGTGCACTAGGGCCTCCCAATGATTGAACCACGAGCACATCTTTTAATTGGCTGGAATTCTATTTTTCACACACTTAAAGGAAGTTCGATTAATCACAAGGGTGCTTAAATCGATCAAGCTATGGCAGTACCTTTTTGAATAATGACAAAGCTGAGATATTTTTGGGATATTTTGGTAGAGCAACAAAAGTGTAAGTGAAGATAAGATAAAAAATGTTAGCTCAATCGTAGAAGAAGTTGGATCAATCGAAAGGGAAATTTTCCTACAGATAAGGACAAAAGGATCGATCCATCATGGCATGGTTGGTGATGAGCATTGAATACATGCATATTCAAGCCCCTAAATATACGTACACTACAAGAAATCAGGCTATTAGGGATAGTCTTTTAGTGACACACTAAAAAACTGTCACTAAAGGTCCTATTATTAGAGACAGTCACATGTTACTGTCATTAAAGGTCCTATTATTAGGGACAGACATATGTTACCGTCACTAATACCCAGCATTTAAGGACAGTAAATTTAACTTGTCACCAAATCCCTATTGACCGTCACCACATCCCTAATAATTGGCGGTGGAAATTTTCTGGTGGCAAAATTTAGGCGCTAGAAATTTTTGTTATGTTTTTGGTTGGGTGAGAAAATGCACGTGGCGGCATCAGGACCATACACATAAGCACACAATGATTTTTTAATTTTAATTTTTTGACTAAACATTAAATGGGTATATTAAACTACGTCGTTTAGTATAGGTTTTGTATAAATCCAAACACTTTCATTATTCTTCATCCATTTTATGCTCTTCAGAGAGTTTTCAGGTGCTAGGGCTTGGTTCCACAGATAACCCCACGTTCGATTCATTCTTCAGAGAACCCATCATGGTTTGACATCGATCTTTAATGCACTAATCAAGTCCTTCTTTAATCTCATCTTGGATTGACTTCTTCGATCTCATCTATCTATTATTTCATTTCTTTGTTTGTTTATTTGTTTATTTATTTATTTATTTTATATCTTTCGCTGGTTTATTTAGATTTAAGAACACAAATACATGTTCTTAAGGTTTCAAATTTGCCAAAAGCCCCAACAATCGAAGTGAGAAATTGTAGAGAGAACTTGCCATTTGAATCGAGAGCTTGTCGTCTGAATTGTCGAGGGAAATCAGTAGCAAATTTCTTCGATTACCAACGTTTTTCTGGTCATCGTGCTCTTGCCTAAAGCAAGCAATCGAAGACAATACACCAGTCGCCGTCGAAACTCAAAAAAGTAACAATCAGCCATGGGTAAGCTCGACACCTTCTATACTCGGATCTCTCGGTACAATTAAATCTAGGGTTTCCAATTTTGCACTTCTAATTCTTTATCATGCGTGTTTGATCTGGTTGATTAATGGGTTTGGGGCGAGTATTTATGCAGGAAAGGTTCATGGATCACTGGCTCATGCTGGAAAGGTGAGAGGGAAAATGCCGAAAGTGGCCAAGTAGGACAAGAAGAAGAAGCCCCGTGGTAGGGCTCACAACGCATGCAATACAATGGACTATTCGTCACCGCCGGTATTATTATCCCTTAATATATGTATATGTTTGTGTATAATTCATATGTATAGCCATATATGTAGTTGTATATATGTAAAATATATATATATATATATATATATATATATATATATATATATATTTATGTGTAGAAGTATTCTTATAGTGATGCTTATACTCCTTGAGTTTTATATTTGCTTGTTATATGGTTAACACTCTTCAATAAACCCATAATCACTCTGTTTGGTTGCTAAGAAAACACAGTATAGAGCAAAATATGTTTATATATACTACTAATGTTACTTTGGCTATTGTTCTTATTAGATTGATAACAAACATCGATGTGGCTTGTTGAAGTACTCTGATGTCCTTATTACTGAAAATTTTGATAGTGAATCTTCATTGTCAAAATTAATTATCTTGGAATTGCTTAATTAATTGATGCATCGTTGACCCTGAACTAGTAAGCAAATGAGCTCTCAATGGAAATAAAGGACTAGGGGAAATCAGCACCTTGCCCCAAGTTATTAGAATATGAGGTTTTTGTTGAGTAATTTTTATGCAGGCATTTGGTCTTTCGGTGCATTATTGGACATGTATTTAAATAAAATTATGCCACTCAACATTTAAGTTTTAAAGTTGGTAGTAGTCCCAAAATAATTTTCTCAATTTTTGCACAAACTGATCCTCGCTAAGGAAGTGCCCACATAGTGAATAGGATTGATATAATAGAGTTCTTGTTGTTCTTCAGTGGATTGAAACTAGAATAAAGTTCTTTCTATTTTTTCCCCTTTCTGAGTGTAATATATATATATATATATATATATATATATATTGTTTCCCCCCTAAAGTTATCACACACACACACGGACATACATTTATATTATTTTTCCATTTTTTTATTTCACTTCCTACATTGCTTTTGTTGGTGGGACAAAATTTTGGAGTACTTTCATAAAATGAAAGCATTGATTCAAGACAACAAAGAGATTAATTATTTTATGTTAGGTGGAAATGGAGAAGGATTACAAGAATCTGATGGGGATGCATTTAAATCATGTTGTAATGGATTTAGTTTAGAGGTATTTGATGGAACCATTAGGTATCAATATTTTATTGACAGCCTTGTGGGAATTCATTTGCAAGTGTAATGACATATTTTCACTATTTTTGAATTTGTATAGTGCCTTAAGGGTTTGATCCAAACTTTACGCAGCATATCCTCAACCCTTGGATGTCTTTATAGTAACTTTTATGCACTAGTGTATTTTCAATATGTTATTCTTACACTTTTTGTGTTAATTACCTGTTGCATGCAATCCATTTTAAGGTTGTCTTTAATTATCATGCAATTAGCTTGGAGTTTTGACACAATCAGGGATTCCTTTAACTAGACATATAGGAGTTCTTTACATGGTTTATGTTTAATAATCATTCAAGCAGTGAGGGTTGACTAAATCATTATTTCCGAGTTTGTCTTGAATGATATCTGTGGTCTTGTCATCTCCAGGTTTCTGGGTGCAAACACGTATTTGTGTTCTTCTGTGCTCAAGTATTGCATCTTAGATCAAAACATTCCTTATATGCAGATTCATTTCAATTTTGGCCACAGTAGTTTATGATTAGTTTATTTATTTCTTGTTATCTGGATTATTCCAAAGCTATGGAATCCTGTGCTTGACAAGACATAAGTGCTAGCAGGGGATCCATACTAGATTGTTTAACAATTCAGTTTCTGTTATGCATTCTAGATTTTTTTACTATCAAAAGTAGTTTTTATTTTTAATTTAGTTTAATTTTTAATTTTAATTTTTTATGTTGCAAGTATTTTTTATTTTCCTTGAAAACAAATATAATTAAAGGAAATGTAGGACAATACACTTACGCAAAACATATATTGGTTAATAAGAATCTAGACAAAGAAAATCTAATGAGTTTGCTTAATATGGTCCCCTACTAATGTTAATATATTTAAGAAAATATTTAACTGTAAAAACACACAAACCTCTTCCTTGTAGATACTTTTATTCCATTCTTCCAATACATGTACACAGAACATTAGAGAGAGAGTCCTATATCTAGATGACTTTTTTACATCTATAACTATAATTGATTTAGCATCCTCTAGAAAGGTAAAAAAATGTTTCTTGGAGAAAACCAAACAGATACTAGATTGGCATAAAAAAAACATCCTCATCCTCTTTAAAAAATAAACAATGGAGGACAATATAATCCATGATCTCAATATTTATTCACATGAAACATCTATTTGGAATAACCCAATTCAGTTTATTATCCTGCAAACTTTGGTTCAAGTACAGAAAGGAAACCTTGGACTAAGTAGCATGATGCAAAATATTAACCTGCCAGACCATGTAATTCACCAAATTTGTTTGTTTATAAGTATATATATATATATATATATATGGAGAGAGAGAGTCTTGATGATGCTGCATGAGCATTGATCCTATTGAAGGCAAATCTTCATATATCATTATTATATGGCTGTGTTGAGTGATTGGTATAAAGACCTATCAATAAACTCTCACAGATGATTTTTTCTAACTCTTTTTCGCAGATAAATGGTTCTGGATTTCAAACTCATTAATAGATGCAGTGAATGTAGAAATTGCTAATATTGGGAAAGAAAATATCTGGGCAAAAGGGGGAAAAACAAGCAGGTGAGAGAAAATTTTGAAGCTTTTTTATGTTTTTGTTTCTTTCTTGGGCTGATCAATAATAACATAATGAAGTGAAATTCGGTAATCCATGTACCTGTTTATGTTGTTTTCACCATGCTATCTACCTTATAAGTTACAACACTCTAACTGCAAGGATCTTTATTACTACACCAATTTTAGAGCTATAACTCGTTTTATTTAGAAGCTCATAAATTCACCTGACATATTTTTCTTTCTCTGTAATTTCTCATGACAGATTTTTGATCATTTGTAAAAGAGTTTCAGGCTAGCTAAAGACAAATAGTATTTCTTAAGAAAAATATTGTCTTCCAGGGAATTATATATTTTGGGGTTTAAATTAAAAAAAAAACTAAGGCATTACGATTAGAAACTGTGATCTTCAAATTAATTGTCACATGGACTTTAATTATTCCTCATATTTTAAATTGCATACATGCAATTAATCTTAAATTTTTTTAACTATAATTAAATGTCTGCATATTAAAATTGAACAAGTTATATGTGCACAACATAAGGCTAGCTGGTTGATGAAAAAACAACATTACTCTCTCTTTTTACCCCTTATAAATTAGCTCCAATACATGCTTCTTTAAAATCTTGTTCTCCACATGATTTGATAAACTAGCCCCTGATACCCAATCTATGTGATATATATAAAAAATCTATAACTTATTTAAAGCAATGTATGTGATATATATTTATCTTGTATCTCAATTCTCAATTCTAAGACTTATATGTCAATTGCAGGATGAAATGATGGATAAGTCTTCCCAGATTTTTCAAAATTCTGATGGTACCAGTTGTAATACCCCTAATTTTAAAAGGACAGACCTGAAATTTAATTTAATTATTTATGTGCATTTTTAATAAATTAGTTGTTTAATTGCTTGTATTATTGGACTTAATTGATTATGTGCTTGTTTGTCTTTTTATTTGAATTGCTTGTTGATTTATTTTATTTAATTGTGTTTTTATTTTCTTTAATTAAATTAATTGTTTTAATTTGCTTAATAGTGTAATTGTATTATTTATTTTGTTTATATGCATTATTTGGTTAAATTAGTTTTATTAATGGTTTTAACTGTATAAAATAATTAATAGGTTTTTATGTTTTATCATGTTGTGGGATTTAGCCGACATATAGTTGGTTTAGGTTTTGATTTAGGTTTTCAAGTAAAGCCTATAAATACGTTATTATACATCTGTATAAGGGTTACAAACAAACCCTATTCACGTAATAAGGCAGAAAGAAACAGAGAGTAAATTAGGGACAAACAGAGAGTGAACCTTGAGAGATTTACAGAGAGGTTCAAGGAGAAAGGAACGTTTTTCTTCTTGGTTAAACCAAGAGCACCGGAGGGGTGGAACGGCAGACTAGGACGTTGACGGAAAACTCAGAGACGATGGTTCAGAGTTTCAAAATCTAAAACTAAAGGCAAGTCTCAGTTCTATTTTTTCCCATAAATCTGTGTTCTGTGCATGCCTAGCTAGACTCCAGGGGTGTAATGAATGCTAAAATTGAGTAATTATGCATGTTTAGTTGGACTAAAATAGAGGGTGTATGATTTTGTTTTCATATTTCTGTTTTGAATGATTTTGGAAATTCTTAATGCATAATTGATGTTTAAGTTTAATCTTTGCATGTTAAAACATCTAAAATAGTTTAGTATGGACATATGAGACTTAGGTTGAAGCTTAGTGGCCTTAACAATGAAGTTTTAGGGTTTACAGAGGATGAACAGACGAAGAAGACGACTGCAGCAACAACTCAGTCGACTAAGTTGGCAACTCAACCTGCTTAGTTGGACTGTGACCTGAATATTGGTTTTAATTGCCCAGAATTATTTCTAAACCTATTTTAATTAATCTAAATGGGTTTAATGGACTTAGGAAGATCCTAGAATGCATCTTATATCTATATATGCTAAGAAGGTGGATGATTTAGAAATTAAATAACATATATGTTGTTTAGATCAGATGGAAGGGTAAATTTAATTGCTCGGCCAATTGAAATTAATGTTTAAATGGATTAAACAATGTTCATGAAACGTTATATTTGTTTGTCTGAGATGTATGTTAGTGACTTGGAGGGTAAGTTAGTTGCATGCTATTTAAACTGTGGTATTGCTTAAATAAATGCAATAATTATCTGTATGATGTGTATCATATTATCTGTAGATTAAATTGATGTATTATTTTTATATTGCATCATTTATTGGACTGGATGGTTTAATTTTGTATCATAATATTTCTGGTTTAATTGACGTGTTATTATTTTGTTGCCTCATTTGTTGGACTAGATGGATTAATGCACTGGTATGGGACGGTAGAATTCTAGGGACTAAGGTATGAATTAACCATAAAGGTTAAATTCATCTCCTACTTGTGTCATGTCAATAAAATAATTGTATGACCTACTTTGGTTTCAAGATGGATTGTTATACATATATCAGACCATTATACTAGATGGATGATATTTTATATTTGGAGTATACGGACTTTATATATTTATGATATGGTGTCATGGTATGAGCTTGAGTCTCAGAATCATGGTTAGGGTGCGTATATCGCCTAGGATGGATAATTGGACATAGATGTTGTTCCCTGGTAGGTCTAGGTACTCATGCCCACTATTGAGTGCGTTTTCGCATGTTGCCTTCTATTCAGGTTGAGACAGACCTATTTGACTAGCGAGCGTCCTATAGTGTGCAATAGATACATATATGGACTACTCTAGATATTGTTGAGCTATCTAGGATTTATCTGCGTATCGAATTTCTGTATAGATTGTAGTAGGATAGGACTTGCATGTGGGCCTGACCTACTCTCTTATTTTTCAGGTGTTCATCAATTCCAGGGTTAGAGCTTGGACATGCAGAGCAGATACAGACACTCATTCCTCCGATTATGTAGGATTACTTTCTATGTTTAGTTTTAAATTCTACTTCAATAGTTTTAGTTTTAGTTTGGGATTTTATTAAGGGGTCCACTGGATGGATTCCCTAGTTGTATGGATTAGAAGTTCTGGAAAGTTTGGTTTTAATGATTAACGATTGAGGATTTTATTATTTAGTTTTCGTTTAGCGTTATTATTTATTTCTTCTTAATTCATTTTATAATCTGTGTTCATTTTAAATACTAATTGTTTGATATTCCCTCGGGTTTGGGCCCGGGCCTAATCAACCCGTGTCTCGGATCCGAGGGGTGTCACACCAGTCCAGTGAGAAAAATGATGTTGAGATAGTGCAAAACCAAGTCAGTATCAGGAAAGGATATCCCCGTGGGTTCTGACATGGTTTCATGATTCCAAGCTGTCAACGTGCATCCTCATCTTATAAAGTGGGTATCAGCATCCATCACCACCAGACTCTCACCTTCAATAGCTGCCACCACATAATTTTGAAGCTTTCTTATGACTAGCTGATATCTAGTCCATTTGTCTTTAAACTACAGATTATGTTGGGTTGTATTTGGATGTCTTTACATTTAGTTTAAAATGATGCTCTGATTTTTAAACATGTTGGAAGAGGTTTAAAGTTTATTTTTATATTCTACATGTCATGCTTTTGATATTTATCTATGGTGCATGTGGTATAGTATTTTGTGGGTTACTATGCAGTTATTTCCAGTTGAGAGTTTGAGTTTTTTCTATAAAGAATTTGAAAAGAAAAAAAAAAAAAAAAAAAAAAAAAAAAAAAAAACACATACTAACATTGATGAAAAAAAAAGAAGAAAAAAAAGGGGTAATAGGGACGGTTTCTAGTTGCCACAATTGTGATAAAAAAATTAAAAAAAAAATTATTAGGGACGGTAAATATTGTCACAAAAAGTTTATGTTTTAGTGACAGTTTAAAAACTGTCCCTAATATATAACTTATTAGTGACGGTATATTCCGTCCCTAATAACTTTTAGTGAATCATTATTTGGGACAATAACGACTGTCACTAAAGACCTATTTTTTTGGTGACAGTCATTTTTTGTGTAACGACTCGGTCATTTGCCTTTCTTTCCTTTTTTCCTGAAATTTTACGAATGAATTTTTTTCGTTTAATTTTCTTTTCTGAGCTTTGTTTCGAGTCACTTAGTGTCATCTCGAGTGCTCGAAATTAGTTTCTGAGACTCTTTCACGTGGATTGACAACTTCCTTTGAGGACCGAGTCATTTTCACATTTTTCGTTTTTTGATACTATGTGCTATTTCGTCCTTTTCCCTATTCTGTCTTATCCACGTTTGTCAGTTTTTGGCACAACCTCACTTTTTGTGCTCGGAGTTAGTTTTTGACTTCATATATCTTGATCTTGCGTGGTTTCCACGAAATACGTATCTTTACTTTTTCAAGAAAGTACTCTGGTTGCTCCCGGTGTCCATAGGGGCATGGATGTACAATTCTTTAAAATCCTTTCCATTCTTGGGGTGTTTTTCATAAATATCTTTTGAAGATATTTTATTTCAGGGGCATTTAAGAAAATATCTTTTGGAAGATATTTTCATTCTGGGCAGTTTGCAGTTAACCCTTTTTGCTGGGGCCATTGTGCAATTAACGAAAGTTATTGCAAAATATCTCATATGGAGACTGGATCCTTGTGCGAGATTCATTTTCACTTTTTGTTAGCTCGTAAATTTATAGAATTCCGTTCTGGTCGTTTTTCTCCAGTTTCAGAGTTTCTGGACCCGGTTGCCGCCGAACTTGTTCGGGGCATAACTTTCTGCTCGGGACTCAGTTTTGACGCCGTTTCTTCTGTTGTTAATATTTTCTTATTTTAAATCTTTTTTGTTCATGGAGTTTTGCCGTTTGAGCGCGTTTGCTCAAAATCCACTTTTCTGGACCCGGCGGGGCCCTTTCGGAGCACTTTTTGAGATTTTTGTAAATAGGTTGCCCTAATTTTTAAAATCAGATTTTCAGACCTTTTTCCTCCTCTTGGCTGGCAGCCATGGGAGCCCAAGGGGCTGCCTTCACTCTTTCTTCTCCTCCAATTGATTTTCTTGGTAGAAATCCTTCGGCCTTAGTATTTGTTGTTCGCCCCGTCGTGCTCTACCATTACCCCTTACTAGAATCCATTTCTTACGATTTTTGAGTTCGGGTTTGGAGTCAAGTTGAGATTTTCATGGGGCTTCTTGCGGATTCTTGTTCACGGTGTTGTCCCCGACAAAACCTCTCGGTATCATCGAATTCGGAGCACTTTTATTTTGGTGGGCCTTTGGGATTTTCATCTCAAATTGAGGTGGGAGGTGTTATAGGTTTAATTCTTTTTATATAACATGTTATTGATGCTTATACAACTTGATTGCATGCTTAAATATGAAATCTAAAGATTTTATTATTTAATTTTCTTGTATTGGATTTGATTTTCTCGGTTGCTTATGACTTGTTTTAAACATGTAGCATGGTAATATAATACTCTATAATATGGTCATTGACATATATTAAATTGAGAGAATTTGAACAAGTATTAAAGATTTTATTTAATATTTATATTGAATAAAATATTAAATCATATGGCCTTAACTAGCTTAAAATCAATATGTGTTAGCATATTAAATTAGGCCTTAGCATGCTCTCCAACATAGTTGAATTTGAAAATGATTGGAGGTGTTCTGAAAATTAGTAATTATTAATTTTGCCCCGAGTGCACTATTAACTCTATTTGAATTCCGACTTGATATTCTTGATTTACATGACATATAGCTTCACATATATTTGATTTATAATATTCGGTTAGGTTTTGAAACCTTTTTTTTTAATTAAATTCCATGTTTAAGATTTAATCCTCATGGTGATATACAACTTGGAATTATATTGTGGCATGCTAGAAAATTAAGCTTAGGTATAGTTGTTCACATATATTAAATTAGGATTAATTGCATGAGAATTGCAACTTTTAATTTATATTTAACTTTAGTGAAAGTTTAATTCACATGGTCTTAAATTGAATGAAATAAACTTGTAATGTGATATTACATTAGTTCTTGGCATGCTTTCCAACATAGGTTAATTTGAGATCATTTGGTTAAGCTTGAAAATCAAGAAATTTTAATTAAAAGAATTAATTAAAATCTATTTTATGGTCCCATTAGCTTAATTAAGGTTTTAACTTGATATTTGTATTGGCCATGACTTGTTTACTAGTATATATTAATTTGGGACTATTTGAAGTTGTTTTAGAACATTGGGATTTAAATTAGCATGATTTAATTAAAGTTCTACTTTGTTGTTCTAACAACCTAATTGAGTTTTAGAATGGATATAGGTGATGACCTTGCCATGCCCTTTAACATGTATTAAATTGAGGTTAATTGAAATTGAATCAGAAATCTAGATAATTTAATTGTGTTTATCTATTTTAATTTTATCAATTTGCTCCATGATCTAGTTGTGTTTTAGAAGTGGTTTCTATATTCAAATAATGGACTTAAATTTATTGTATATTCATTTGGTTATGTTTTGAATATTGGATAACATAGTTGATATGTTTGTATTCGTGATAATATGTTTTCCTTATTGAATATATTGTTGCCTTGTGTAATGATTTGCACACTTCGTGTTTAACATCTTTCATGCATAGCATGTAACGAATCACACACTGAAGATTTGACATTCATCATATCATATTAGTTGTGGATTTAGAGCATGTATTGTATAGGTTTCCAAATTTGGTTGTGCTTAGTAGATAGTTGATTATCTTGCATATTCCTGTTGATATATGCGTTATTGCACAACTTGTTGATTTTGGAAACTTGGGGATGTCGTTGTTTGACTATGGTTAAGACGTGGTTCTAGTACGGGGGATAGTCCCTCTATATGGTCTAGTGCACACATAGGGAGGTTACCCATGGGCTAGTAACCCTAAAGTAACTATGTTATCGGTCTGATCCGGCGTGACGTCCGAGTGTACACTTTGTTTGATTTCGCATTTCATTTTCAAGTTAATAACTAAATGATGTTGTAACTTGTTGTTTTTTATTTGTCGTTCCATTTTAAGTTACATGATGTTAACTTTGCGAAATTGCACTTTATGCGTTGTATTGGAAGTTCGAATGTTGGTTAAATTGCATCGATATTGAAAATTGTGTTTTGACGTTCTAACAAAGCTTAGGATTGATCCTATTGATTCATTTATAACTTAGACGTTAGGTGGCATGACCCATTTCTGTTGTTTTCGTGCTTTAGATTTCAAGCTGATAGCTTTAAGAAATTATATTTTGTTGCCTTGTGTAATATGCTTTTATGTGGTTAGATTGCATTGAAGTTGTAAATTGCGTTTTGATTGTTCAGCATGGCCTAGGTTGATTCCTTAGACTTATTTAGAACATAGACGTTAGGTGACATGATCACTTTAGTTGTTTCTGTATTCGAGATTGCAAGTTAATACCTTTAAGAACCTATATATTGTTGCTTTGTATAACGTGCTTCCATATTGTTTAAATGGCATAGATGATGTAATTTATGCTAAAAACACTCTAAGGTAGCTTAGGATGCTCCCTGAGTCTCATTTCGATATAGACGTTAGGTGGCATGAACCCCTATAACATGTTTCACCTTAAGGTGATAAATTTGTAAAATGCTAGGTCGATGCATGCTCATCTCCTACGAGTAGCTTTATGTTACTCACCCCTACGATACTGGGGCATATTTCAGGTACAAAGACTTGGTTCGTGATGCCTAGCATTCCTTGGATGTCGTGTAGCTTTCAAGTTTCCATTTCATGCAAATGTTAGCAGGAAATGTCATTTTGTAGACTTATAAGTAAAATTTGTATTCTTTTATTCCATGTATGTAATGTGTACATAAGTGCACTCCTTTCAATGTATTTGACATGTATGAGATGAGGCTGGAGGCCAATGACATGTGTATTGTATTCTATACAACTTTTTAACTTCATGAAATATTATGAAAACCTTGAAAAATCGCAAGTCATTGCTTCACCATGGTTACATCGGGTGTGGGAATTCCATTTTCATTCTTTCATAAGGTCTTATTAATCGTGTATGAAGTGTGGCCAAGGGCCAAATGGTCATTTGACTCCATTTTACATTTTTGGATTCCATGTTTTTCATTTCAAGTCCATTTTTGCCTTTTTGCCCGTTGGGGGGTCAGATTTTGCATCGGCTATATTTTTACACCATGGACCATTGTAGCGCGTCTAAATAGGTAAGTTACATTTGTGTGCATAGTCGTTTCAGGGCAAAACCTCATCGTTTGTGTTTTGAGCCTCCTACGAATTCATTTTGCGTTTTTGTTGCATATTCTGATCTAGGGGCATTCTAGACTTTTTAATTCAGTTTTATTTCCTTCTTTCAATATGGTTGAATAGAAAATGTGATTTTAGGGGGGGTTTCTTTTTTGTGTTTTTCCAGAAAATGTCGTCTTGGTGCTGAAAATCGATCGCAAAGTTCAGCTTTTTGTTTTTTTTTTAGTAGCTTTTTGGACCTCCATGACTAGATTTCATGGAGGGGCATTTTGGGTATTCTACATTGCGTTTTTTTTTTAATTCTGATGCAAGTCACGTAGAAAACTCAATTTTGAGGGGGGTTTCTTCGTTATATTTTTCCAGAAAAATTCATCTACAAGCCCG